TTATACGACGATTTTCGTGACGAAGCTGGTGTGATCTAGGTAGTTACAGACCTTCCAATTTCTCTAGTGGTCTCACTCCTACTAGCTGGGCCAATCCCGGGGTTTGCCTTTGAATCGAAAGATTACTGTTGGTTCATTTTGTGTATACCCATAATCATAAGGCCGATGTCAGACTTTGCGAATCGAGCGATTCGCTAGCGTCGCGTCGCGGTACCAGCCAATTGAGTGATTCACTGGCCGCGACGCGACCGCAGACGCTAGCGAATCGCTCGATTCGCAAAGTCTGACATCGGCCTAAGAATTACGACACAAACAAGCTGTGGGTGATAATTTTCGGTGACGTCAAGCGCAAAGAACCTCACACTCCACATTTTGAAAGAAGAAAAAACAAATTTCGATTTACCTTTTCATTTCATTCGATAAGGTTTCTTCTGCATTACACAGTAGGTTTTTCTTCCTAATTTGCTTTATAAGATTCCTAAAAATTTCACTGAAGTCCACGCGGCCGCAAAACGTAAAACATGCGCGGTCTTCAACGTGTTAATAACAATTGATCTGTAGACATTTGGAGCTTTCTACAGTGCATTTTTTTGAAGGATAGAAGAATGTCACTATACATACATTGATTCCGCAAGGTATCACTATTCTCTGATTGGGACCATTTCTCCATCTTTTTAAGTCGTCTTTGCTGTGTTCTTTTTCACCATGATAATAGGGAGTAATTTCACCTGCAGTTTTATTGATCTTGAATTGTCCACAACTCTTTAGATTGCTTTGGATGGAATCGATTGATATTCAGATTTGATTCTGGTACTAACCAGTGGTCGAATGACATTCGTCCAACCTCCATGGCACGGGCTGCATGTGGTGTGGCTACAGACTACTGGCATATTTATGCAGTGGGCGGTCACAACACTGTAAGTTGCTTGGAGGTAGTTGAAAGGTAAGAGGAGATCGAATGAGCTCTGGTTTACGTTATTACGTACCTTGTTATTAGCTACGACATTCATCGAAATGAGTGGACCGATGTGGCACCGATGAATGCACGCCGATGTGGGGTATCTGTCTCCTTTCTTAATCGTGGTTCTTTATACGCTGTCGGAGGATCAGACGAAACATCTGTTTTGAACACCGTGGAAAGGTGGGTCAATTCACCTCTGCCGCTGATTGAATATTGACTGATGCTTATAAATTGTGGTCTTGTAAGGTGATCCCATTCGAAAATTATGTATTTCTGGAAGCAAACGCATATATCGTAAAGATTTCCCAGCATCTTTACTTCTGGAGAGGTCTCGATTGTTCAAAGGCAGAATTAACGATGAAATGTTAACTCATTGAAAATAAGGGTAGAGGTGGTCAGTGGAGCAGGGATGAAGAGCTCATTGGAAATAAGGGTAGAGGTGGTCAGTGGAGCAGGGATGAAGAAGAAACCATTTGAAACGGCCCGAAACCCGAGAAATGGGACCCCTTCCTTGCCCGTTGATTTGCGCATTGATGCGACTCTCATCGCTGTGCCCTTCAACAACACTACTCTCTCTGCTATCTAATCACTCGCCACGTATAGACCTGCGCGGTGATTAGATAGTTGGTGGGCGTACTCCGCCAACTGGGCCAAGAGACCATGTAAAATCGCCGAGATCCAATTTTCGCTGCACATTGCGCTCGGCCCCGCCCAGGATTTGCCTGTCTCCAACATTGCAATTTCCCCTTTTTGACCTCGTTTTACGTGAACTCATCTTCAAAGACTGATAAATATTATTCGGCTTCTCATTGCGCTACTTGTGTTTTGAGCTGCCCCTTATCTGACACTTTCGGCTGACTTTCTGGTGCTGCTGATGGACAAGGTTTTATTCACATGGGCACTCCTAGAGCTATTCAATTATTTTCAGTTTGCAGTAACCAATTACTAGCGATATATCCATTTTTCTCATACCATTTTGATTCTCTGTCCCACCTCGCTCTCCGTTATCGAAGAGACATGGCATCACTGCTGCTGGGCGACGTCTGGGATTACGACACTCGCGTTTTAGTGCAAGCCTCTATCAAATCAGTATCAGCTGTTAATCCAATTTTGTCATGCTCACACCAAACATGTTCTTGGTCCTTCCTCTTTACCCATAGTTTTCAAATCAGCTTTGATGACTGCTCGTTCTGCGCATTAAATACTCGATTATCGTGAGTTGGTAGCGGTCACCGGTTGTAATGACGTGTATTGATAGAAACTATGTGGATAAGCTGCTTCCAACATACATCGCTGGCTATCAGCAAAGCATGCTGGCAACAGCTTATCCACGCACTTCTATCAAGTACACGTCACTTCCGGTGACACACCCACCCCAACTTTCGGATATCGACTGTATGTATGAGTTCCTGTGGAGCAGGGCAGTTGTAACAATCTCGTCACCCCGCCCTCTCTCATTTCAAGAAAATCCTTGTTCAGGGCTTCATCGACGGTTTTCTTTGCTTCCTTTTTCACTCTTAGTCAACTCGTCATCCACAACTCCAATATTGACCGCTATGACCCCACAAATCGATCTGGGGTGTTGCTTCAAAGATTTCCACGAGAAATTGGAGACTCCTGGGCTATCCTTTCATTCACTTCCGCTCTTTAACCCACATCTCCCTGATGAAATATTGCAACCAATATTAGCTCAGTAACAATCTTTTTGGGATCAGAAATACGTGAAATAGAGGCATCTACATGTTCCTTAGGCTGGTGTCAGAGTCCGCGATCCGTCGCAGGTTTCGCTGATTTTCGCGATTTGCGCGATTCACGCGACGGGTCACGGAAATCACAAGTGCCCGATCAATACTGCAAGGTGTTCTCCAATCCTGCCGCCACTTCTGCTTGATAGTGATGGCTGAATGACGACTGCTCATGATTCCACTTGTTTCATATTCAGTGTTTCAAATGTTCAAATGGGGCACTTGCAATTTTTGCGATCCGTCGCAGGTTTCGCGAATCGCGCAAATCGCGAAAATCAGCGAAACCTGCGACGGATCGCGGACTCTGACACCAGCCTTACCTTGACCAAACGCCATAATGCAGCTGTTGCAATAATAGTTATTTAAATAATTGTGTTGAATAAAAAAATCCAAAGAAATTAGAAAAAAATCTAAGCGAAAAACAACTGAGGTGCTTCAGGAATCGTTTCAGGCTAGACTCACGAGAGGGTAAATGGGAGTACGTCTGTCCGATGTCAACACAACGAAAATATTTGGGAACTGCAGTGATCGATGACTGCTTGTACGCAGTTGGAGGACGAGATGGCTCCAACTGCCCACTGAGTTCGGTAGAGAAATATGATCCCACGCAATAATAAATGGACACCATTGGCTCCGATGAACAACGCACGATCTGGTGTGAGTCCGTGCACTGTATAATATGATATGCTATTGGATGAAAGATGGGTGCTATACAAGTAGGGTGGGCACGCCGCATTTTTGAACAGAAATGTATGTCAAGTGGGACTGCTGCTCGCTACTATACTGTCACGAGAATCGGGGAATTCGTGAGCCAGGGGGAGTGTAGCCAATCTAGGGGGTGGGGG